TTAGTGATAAGACGTTACGTCCAGCTTTGTATTTGAGAATAAAAACAACACATTAATTGAAAAGATCTTTCTAAGCTTCTTTCTGTTTTCTTTGCATTAAAAAATCTTTCATTGATGCTGTTTTTTCTTCCTTCTTAATCTTTTGTTTATCACTATCACTACTCCTCCACCCAGAATACTACCTTCATCAGTTTTTTTTTTTAACTTTTCTTGTAACATCCACACATTGAGCAATCCCAAAATGCATACCTTCATTCTGCACCTCTAGTCTTTCACCACTGTGTCAGGGGATGAGAAACATACTTTATCATCAGTCCTCTACAGTTGTGTTTGGTCATTACATCGATTAAAGTTCTTGAGCCATACAAAGTTATTTTTCTTATTGTAAATCAGGAAAGAACAGAATAGCATATTCTAAAAAGCAAAGGAACCCAAGGGAGGCCACATGATATGGTAAAAAGAACACTGAACGTACAATCACACACCTGGACCTTAACACTATTGATTAGCCACAATGACTAAGGTTATTTCCTGCTCGAGAACTATAATCCTAAATTTCATCCCCAAATAAAATATCCTGTAAGCTAGGCATAGTCATTATTGAAAAGTCGTCTTCAAGAAAAAGAGACATTTGAGTCATTCCTACAAAAAAATCAAAACCAAGAGACAACAACAACACCACCAAACACTAATCCAGAGGTGAGAGCAGAATAATTGACTTGCAAGCATTCCAAACAAGAAAAACAAAGGAAAGGTAAATAAGTATAATTATCAAGAAAATATTAAGCAATGAAATAAATTCTCTCCTGCATATTATTTTTATTAAAGAAACTGGACTAATGGGTAAAAGAACGAACAGAAGTGCCATCAAGAGGAAAAAATTACCTAAAGAGAATTAGAAGAAGCAGGAGAAGGAAAAGAAAGAAAAGCTGAATGAATATTGTGGGGATTAAGTCCCACTCTCCTCTATAAGTGAATTAATATCTTTTGTGATAGGGATAGAGCAGAAAGTTTCTTGAACAAGAAAAAGGAAGGCAAGGAACAGAGGGTAATTGGAGATATACCTCCTAAGTTGCCTTTGGTGAGAAGAGAATGGACAGTAATTTATTTAGTCTCTCAACAATAGTGCAGGTGGGGGTGTTGGCGGGGTTGCGGTAGGGAAAGTGGCATACAAGCAAGGATTGTCATGGCAGGACTGTAACGCTGGTCTTTTCCTAGAGGGGACAATGAAAAAGTCTCGTAGAAATATTCTCATAGGGGACGAATAATGGGATTCATCTAGGGCTAATGGGCATAATAATTGGAGGCCACCTTCTCCAAAGAATACTTGTGCTTCCCAGAACTGGATCACACCCTAGGAGAGAGAACGTCCTCAGGGGCAGCCAGCTCCCAAGGTGGTAGGGGGCTCATAGACCCAGAGAGACAAGATAACCTGGCTTGCGAAGTTGTAAAGTCAAGACATGACTCCATGATGTCATTGGTCCTCTTTGAAAATGAAGGATGAATAACAGTCACTGTAAGGGCAAGGGGTAGGATTAGGCTTCATGACCTAGGGTATAATGATTCCGACCACATGACACCGCCTCCCTCATTAACTAATGTTTCTGTAAGTGAGACAAAGCAGGAAAAGATATCATCAAAACCAACACAAAGCAAAATAAAAATTAGGCACATGCATACATACGTCATGAGGGTCGCATAGAACACAGGCAGAGATTCTCTGCCTGCTACCAGCTGATCCCTTGTGTTTGCCTTGGTGCTGTGGGGGCTTAGCCTCCCCCCATCCTTTCTTGGGAAGTCTACTGACAGAGGGAACCACTTGCCAAACATTAGAAAGTTGAAGGAAGAGAGTGGGCCCCAAGCTATATCTCCTTTTTCAACTGACACAGAGCCCTGCCCACTGCAGCTGTCCTGAGAGACGATGCAGGGTTTTCTGCATCACACTAGAGCAGTACTGAACCGCTCATCATCTCCGAAGCACAAGTGGTTGTCTGGAAACAATCAGAAGACCCCTGCACATGCCCTGTGTAATGCCTGGTCACACATACACAAGCACAAAAACAATAACACAGACAGTGGATGGATGAGAGTTCTCAAATCTGGAACTCCAGGAAGTTTACCTTCGCAAGAGACATAGAGAAAACAGAAAGCAGAAGGAAGCACACAGACATAGGCTAATATAATTCAGAAGAGACTAGAAAGAGACAGAAATATGAAAGAGGGCAAAGTAAATAAAAATTTCTTGGGAAAAAATGGTGCTACAAAACATTTCTTGGACCATTAAGTTAAGGGAAGAGGAAGAGTTAAAATAGGAGGTCAAATGAAAGAAAAGAAGGAACAATTTAAGTAAATTCAAGGAACTTGGGGTAGGAAAGGTAAAGGGGAGTGGGTAGGGTAGGAAAAGAAGCTATGGAAAAAGCCTAGCATTCAACTATTATAAGCAAAACTAATCACAGGTATAAAGTGATGATGTTTTTCAAAGAGGAGATTAAAATCAATACAAAAGAAATAAGGGAAGGAAAATATAATCCTAGCATTCATGCTCATTTTATATGTGAAGAGGTTATACAATCTGGTAATTGTTTGTGAATAGACTGGAAGAGAATAGAAAGATAATAACAGGAATAAACAAAACTCAACAATTTGCTGCATAAAATAAATATCTAAAAATGCAGAATGAAAAATAAGAAACTGGAAAAAAATCTACTACACACCAAGTAATTCTAAAAAGTAAGGTATTACAATCATGTCACCAAAGGAAAAATAAAAGTCACAATGTTAAGAGAGATAAACAGAGATAATACATTAGAACCAAGGTTGCTATAGACAATGAAAACAATGTCAATGTTAAACATATATGCATCGAGTGAAATAATGTCTACCTTCATAAAAGAAAAGTTTAGTGAAATGAAAAAACACATACACAGTAAAAACTAATTGTGGGAAACATTCATGTTCTCCCAGGGCTGGGCTAATGAACCATGAAGATTAAAAGGGAAATATGGAATAATCAAACAATGAATTAAGAGCTGGGGATATTAATATAAAAATAAAAATTAGTTTAGCCACAAAAAAGAGAGATCTCAGAAGATTGAGAAGAAAATTTAAACAAGAAATTTCTGAGAAAATGAAAATACTCCTATAAATTGATGAAAAATGAAATAAATAGAATAAAAAACTATATACATGTATGTATATATGTGTATATATATATATATATATACATACACTATAAGAACACATACTAAAAGAAAAAACTGAAATCGAACAATGATAATTATGATGACCAAGGCTGACTCTGAAGAAGTGAGAAAATGTACCTCCCTCCTTTTGTTGGAGATGCGGGGTACTGTGTGCCTGGAATGTTGCAGATGCAGTCAGTGTGTTGGTTTTGCTGAACTGGGTTTTTTTTGCTTTTTTTTTTTATTGTTGTTTTTTAAAGCCTTTGTTAGAAGGGAAAGCTCTCTGGGGGGGAGAGGAAGAAAGGGAATATTTAGAAAGTGATGTAGAAACAAAATGGTTGAAAAAAATTTTTTTAAAGATGGCAAAGAGGAAGTCTATTGATTAGTGAGAAAGAAAATTTGATTTTCACTGGGTAGCCTGATGCAGTGACAAGAGAGCTGGATTTGTAATCAGATCATCTGGTTCACATCCTTGCCTTGATCACCTGTGTAACCTTTCAGGGACTCAGTGTCCTCATTTGTAACATGATGGGGTGGGTGTTGGAATAGACAACCTCTAAGGTCCCTTCCAGCTAGACTATTCCACCAATTGACTATTTCATAGCCTTTGGGAGTGAGGTCCCAAGAACCCCAAGCATCCCAAGCTGAGCCCTAGTACAAATGAAGGCTCCAGTCCTTACCTACAGATAACTTCCTCTTACTTTCTGCAACCTCATCCCCTCCTACTGGTTCAGATGAATCTATTCTTCCTTCTCCGAAGCCTGAAGGATCACTCCCAGAAGTCCTCTTTGCCCCAGACCCTTAGCACTTGCCAGAGCACTCCAGATATGGGGAAAAATAAATACAACCACCCATAATTATATAACATCCATTCTGTCCAGAGCTAATTCCCCCCAGTAACTCCCTCCTACCATATGCATCTGAGCATCACCTAAACTCTGGCTTCAGTTAACCAAGAAGCCCTCATAAGTCTACCTAACCAATAACTGGTGATGCCATCACACAATGACATCATCTTCCATCCCCATGAGCTCAAAACTGGGACCACGGCTAGATGGTAAGGTTTTGAGGTCCTTGAAAACAACGCTATTGGTCCCATTCATCATTTGGGAGAAAAGGAGGAGCCCAAGGGTTGCTCTTAGGTCTATTTCTCTAGCCTTCATCAATCCTGTACAGGAGACTAAATAACAACCCACCCGTTTTGCCATCTCTGGTTGTGTAACTACTGTAGCAGATGATGTTACATAAACCTATTGGGGAGGGGCCAAAGCTCTGAACCCCCGATAAGACTCAAACTTAAATCTAAATTAGGAAAAGGAAGACATCTCATCTAGTTTCCTCCCCGCCTCCCCCCAAAGACCCCCAAACAAACTAATAACACCTGACCAGCCTAATGATGACGACAGACAAGAGATCTATCAATACCCCCTCCCCAGTCCAGAATCACACACAGAGGCATCCAGATGGGAAATAATAGGGAGGAGGGTGTGTGTGAGAGAGAGGAGAAGAGAAGCGTATAAAGTGGCGTAGTCCTGGTAAAGGCGACAGATGGCACTGCCCCATGGGGTCCTCATTAACAAACATACAGCTGAAAGGAATAGACTGGGGAGAGGATCTGTTGGAGGGGAAGGAAAGGAAGGTGGCAGCCCCCAGCCAGTCCAATTTGGGGGTACTACATCTTTAAATGGTTCCTTTCATCTCCTCTCCATTCTTACATCCTCAGCAAACAGCTGTAGTGAAGATGCTTGGAGAAGTCTAGAGAGTCTGGCTCTGTTCCCAGGGGATGGGCAGGATTTGGGGATGGGGGCCGCAAAGTACCTTTCCCTGGGTCATGGTGCAGTCTCGAGGAGAGCCGTGTCCCTGGGGCCAGGGAAAGCCACCCAGGTCACTGCAGCCGCCAGCTCAGTCTTCAGCGTGGGTTCTAGCAATATCCACTGCAGCTCAGGGTCGAGACTGGGGAGCGTACCATGTCTGCACCAGAAAGGGGGTAGGGGTGGGGGTGGGGGGGGCAGGTCTGGGGATGGATTCTAGATGGTGAGAAATTGCAGCTTTGGGTATGCGTAGGGAAAAAGAGCGATGTTTGTCCCCCCGTTCCTCAGAATGATGCAGTCTACCCGCTCCACCCCCCAACCCCCCCCTTTAAGGGGGGAAAAGCACCAGACATCAGAGCAGCCCAAGTGGAAGGGGGGGAACGGAGGGTAGCTCCTAAGGGTAGAGGGAGGAGGAGCCAGAGGACAGTGAGGGGAGGAGCCAGGGATAACGTTCCCCTGCAGCCACAGAAAGTAATTCATTGAAATCGAATCAGCTGATGTTTGTCGCTGGCTATCTAGAGCTGTATTGCGGCTTTTTATCTCTTAATCCATCTCTATGATCTGTGGCTATCGCTATCTCTATTATCACTATCGCTGACACTATTCCTGTCTCAGTTATCTCCATCTGGTCTCTTTCTTCATCTCTAGTGTCTTTATCACTGTCTCAATTGCTTCAATAACCATTTATGGTACCTCTACTCAGCGCAAAGCAAATGCGCACTATGCTAGGTACTACGGACCATGCAGATAACTATGACAAAGGCTCAGCCCTGGAGACTCTTAAAATTTAGTAAGGAAGACAAGCAAATAAAATACGTTATGTTAAGTGCATAAAATCACAGAAGTGGATTTAGAGAGGAAGATCTAGTCTGACTCATTTTTAAAAATTAAAAGCCATTTATTACGCTCTTACCATGTGCTATGCACTGAGGAAAACATATTTAGAAAGAGAGGGACAGCTCCTGTTTACATTTTAATAGGAGAAGGCAATGCAGTAGGGGAATGGTAACCAGTAAAGGGAGTTTGTTCTGGAAAGGTAGGGAGTAGAGTATGGCTATAGGTGGATACCCTACACAAATGGCATCAGTGGATGGCTGGATGGGGTATTTGACTGGTGCTTAGAGTACCTTAAGGGAAATAGTATACAAGGTTGGCAAGGTTGGTTGAAGCCAGATTGTGTAGGGCCTTGAATGCCTCACAAGTAAGTCTGGACTTGATTTAATAGATAATAGGATATTATTGAAGTTTTTTAGCAAAAGAGTGACATGATCTTTTAGGAAGATTAAGCTGGCAACTATGTATAGGAAGGATTGGAAAAGGGAAAGATTGAAGGTGGAGAAACAGGAAGCTATTGCAATACTTCAGATGATTTCTTTGTTGTTATTTGTCTTTTGTTCTCTAAGAGGACCAATGACATCAAGATGGTGATGTCTTGTAAGTGAATTGGATTTAAGTAAGGCAGAGCTGTGCAAAGTCATTAGCCCTCACTTTCTCCTCCAGAATCATTGGAATCCAGGGGCAAGACATAAGTCAAGACGATTGTCAATGGCCCAGCAGATGATCTCTTTATTGCTAAGTATGATGGCCTTTTCAAGACAGGTCCTTGAAGCAAACACAAGCTGAATCTGGTAGAGCCAGCCTCCCACAGACTTCTCTGCCTCATTTGAGACTGTTGACTACCTCTTCTTCCTAGATACTCTTCCCTTCCTGGGCAGTGAGGTAATATGGAGAATCAAGGATGATGTGTGTAAACAAAGCATGGGGAATTCCACTTGTAAGAGATGTGAAGGGGAGGCCTAGTTCCACAGAATATGGATATTCCATGGGAGGTTGGGTCTAACCAGGTTCAGTTTGTGTTTGTTTCAAGGACCTATTTTGATTGTACCTAGGGGTACATATATAACACTATAACTCTCTGTTTCAAAGCTCCCTTGTTTATGGAAATGTGCTTGCCTAGAGATATGAGAGCAATGCACTTCTCTTGCATGGGAGAGTTCTGAATGGGATCAGAGTCTGCTCCTCCATCTTGCCTTGTGCCTCAGTTCATACAGAAGTAAGGATATATCTCTTATCTCCCTAAAGCCACCAAAACCATCAAAACCAAAACCAGTTAGACCTCAGTCTCTCTCTTTTCTGAGCTGGAAGCAGGGTGGGGCCAGTATTGAGGATCCCATCAGGGCCACTGCTACCAAACCCCACCAGAATCCAGGAGGAAGGAGGTAAGGGAGCCATTTTCTGGAAATCAAACTGATCTACTATGCTTTGGGGTGAAAGACGAAGAATCTTCCAATTTCTTTTTCCCAAAAGACTCCAAAGCCAAGTTCAAAAAATCAGTTACTAAATTGGGGAACTCTGGCTTGCAGTAATTCTCTACTTCCAGAGTCTGATGGTTCTATAGCAATCTGAGTAGGGCAGGGACCCCAGGAAGCTAGGGTTACATATGACACTGCTCTCAGCTCTCCTTCTAAATGTCAGAATGTTCCTTTGCTCGTCATCAACACCCTGCCTCCTAACTGTGAGTATATCCTAAAGTTTTCTCTAGAGGGTCCTCATCTCTCTGTACCTTCTGTCAGTGATTTCATCATCTCCCATGAATTCATGTCAAGTCAAATCAACAAGAATTCATTAAGAACTTACTACGTGCCAGGCACAGTGCTAAGTGTTGGAGGTACAAAGAAAGACAAAAACAGTCCATATTCTAATGGGGGATAGAACACGTGCATATGAGATACATACAGTAGAAGGAGGCCATTTCAATGGAGAAGACACTAGAAGCTGGAGGGGACTCGAAAAGATCTCCTGTAGAAAGTGGGATTTGAGCTGAGGCTTGAGCCAGGGAAGGTGAGGAAAAAAGTAAGGAGGGAGGACAATCTGGGCATGGGAAACAGTCAGCTTGAAAGCATATAGATGGATTATAGAGTGGCACTTGTAAAGAACCAAAAGTGGGTCAACACAGTTGAACCATGGAGTGCATGGAGGAGAATAAAGTATAAGACTGTAAGAGCAGGCAGCGGTCAGGTTAGGAAGAACTTTGAATTCCAGATAGGGAGTTTTATATTTGATCCTAAGGTAATAGCCACTGTAGTTTATTAAAGGGAACAGGTAGGAGAGGGGCTATGACATGGTTAGACCTACTTTTAAAAAATCCCTTTGGTAGCTGAGTGGAAGATGGATTGGAGTGGGGAGAGATTTGAGACAGTTCAATTAGGTTATTTCAGTGGCCCAGGAAAAAAGGGGAATGAGGAAATGAAGTAGGGGAACAGCTGTGTGAGTGGAGAAGAGAGGATGTACATGAGAGATGTTGGAAGGTAGAAACAAGATTTGATGAGGGATTGGAATAAGGACCTGAGAATGACATGGAAGTTGTGAGCCTGAGCGACTGAGGGAACACTGGTGCCCTCAATACCTCAATAGGAACGGGGGGAATGGGAGAATAATGAGTTCTCTTTTGGATATGTTGGATTTGAGATGCCTATGGAACATTCAGTTCAAGAAGGCCAAAGGTGATATGGAGATACAACTTGAGAGAGAGCCTAGGGCTGGAGATGGAGATCTGGGAATCATCTGCGTAGAGAGGTATCCCATAGGTACATATCCAGTCTAAGTCTCTCTGCTGAGCTCCAGTCCTATGTCACCAACCGTGTGTTGGACATTTTGACTCACACACAGAGATGTGCTGGTAAATGTTCATCTACCATCTCCCCCCTCCCCCCCTGCTGCCCCAAATGTAGGCAGGACACACTTTTAGTAATTCTTTTTTTTTTTTTATTTTGGTGAGGCAATCAGGGTTTAAGTGACTTGCCCAGGGTCACACAACTAGGTAGTGTCATCAAGTGTCTGAGACTGCATTTGAATTCTGGTCCTCCTGACTCCAAGGCCAGTGCTCTATCCACTAGGACACACTTTTAAGCTTAATTTGAATTACTAACAATTTTTTAAGTCCAGATAATCAACAAAACAATAAATCAAGTCCTGACTTGTAGCTTGTTGATTTCTGAGGTGAAAATACAATGAACATTTAACAATCACCTCTCCTATTCAAGCTGGCTCTAGCAAGCCCCTGCTAAACATCTCTAACTCAATGGGTCCCCTCCTAAACCCCTCTTTCTCCAAGTTTCCCTGTTTTTAATCCTTCTAGTCACCTAGATTTGTCACATAGAATCATTGACTCCTCCCTCTACTTCAGCCCCCATTTTTTTTTTTGGGCTAGGCAATGGGGTTAAGTGACTTGCCCAGGGTCACACAGCTAGTAAGTGTTATGTGTCTGAGGCCGGATTTGAACTCAGGTTCTCCTGAGTCCAGGGCTGGTGCTCTATCCACTGTGCCACCTAGCTGCCCCAGCCCCCACTTTCAACCATTCACTAACTCTTTCTGATTCTACCTCCACCTCAAGTCCTTTTTCTCCATTTACATGGCTACCACCCTCTTTCAAGACCTCATCATCTGTTGCCTAGACTATTGCACCAGTCTTCTCATTGATCTTTCAGACTCAAACCTCTCCAATTCATTTTTCACGTGGCAATCAAAATAATATTCCTGACCATGTTGCTACCCTGCTCAAAAACCTTCAATGACTTCTTGTTGCCTCTAGGATAACATAGAAGCTCATTTGGCATTTAAAGTCTTATAATCATGTCCCAGTACTTAAAAATTTTTCCCTCAATTAACAACCATTTATTTTCTTTCCTTCATACCCTTCCATATAAAAAAGAAAAGAAAAAGAAAACCTCTGTCACAGATACGTGGAAGACGGATTGGAGTGGGGAGAGATTTGAGACAGTTCAATTAGGTTATTTCAGTGGCCCAGGAAAAAGGGGGAAGTAAAACAATATGACTATTGCATTGGTGAAGTTGTATACTGATTCAACCATTCCGTATAACAATTTGGAACTATGCCCAAAAGGCTAAAACAAGTAAAACAGTCCAAAAATTTGTATCTTGAGTCTATCACCTTTCTGTCAGGAAGAATATAAGGTGCTTTATCATTGGTCCCTTGGAATTGAGGTTGATTGTTGCATTGATCAGAGTTCTTAAATCCTTCAAAGTTGTTTTTCTTTATGATATTGTTATTTTACAAACTGTTCTACTGGTTCTTCTCACTTTAAGTC